GTAGGGCGGAGGAATGTGTGATGTGACCATATCTGGATATATTTTGAAAATATACTGATAGAATTTGGTGATGAATTGGATTGGGAGTTTGGGATAAAAGAGGAGACAAAGATGACTTCAAAATTTTGGGCCTGGCCACCAGGAACGTTGAAATTGCTGTTTGCTCAGATGAAGAATACTATAAGAGTTGCAAACTGGGGAACAGATGCTGAAAAACCCAGTTTGAAAATATTAAATTGGAAGTGTCAAGCCAAGTGGAAGGGTTTATTAGACGATCATATATAGAGTTGAGAGGAGATGTCAAGAATTAAGATAATATTTTAATTCAGAAGTTATGGTTGATTAATTTGTTGAGGTAGGGAACCAAAATAATTATGTCTTTGAGTTAAATCAAGAAACCTGATGATACTTAATTTAGTAAGAAAAGGAGAAAGGTGAAGACAAGGAAGCAAATGATCGGGAAAGAACCTCTGAATAAAGACCCAGAAGGCCTATTTTTAGTCTTGATTGTCTACTAATTTTCTATGTGGCAATGGAAAAATCATCCTGTCTCAATTTCTTAATTTGTAGGACAAATGGGTAGGATCAGATCATTTAAGTTCCCTCCCACCTCTAAACTAAAGATGAACAGTCAATAGCCTTAATATATAAAGAACTCTTATAAATCAACAAGAAAATGATGAATACTCTACTAGAAATATGGGCAAATGATATTAGCATACAATTCTCCAAAGAGAAAATAAAATTTTCAATAAGTAACAAAAAAATTGTTCTGGCACTTAGTTTCAATAGTATTATTAAAAAAATTAAAATTACTATACAATAGGAATAATAGCAATAAAATACTTCTAAAAATAAACTTAACAAGAAATAAAATACCTATATAAATGAAAATTCTAAATGCAATGGAGAACTCATAAAAGAGTCTGTTTAGGATGGCATAAATTTAGCTTAATTCTGACAAAAGTATGCACTGAGAGTTTTTGCAGAACAAGACAAATCAATTATGAAATTCATATGGAAATGTAAGCATTTACCATATCCAGGAACAGTCTATCAATGAACACTTTCAACCTTGAGCTCCTTTTGCTTAAATTGGATAAACAGAGATGTAACACCTTAATCAGGTCTGGGTTAGTTAGTTCAGTAATGAGAAATTTGATGGGGACTTTCCACGAATTCCCTAGATCACCATTGTATTATACTCTATAGAGATGACAAAACAGAAAAATCCTGTGTGGGCATCATTGATATTAAACCACTCAGATTTTAATTCTAGGATCATTGCTGTGGTGGTTTCAGCTTGGTGTATACTTATCCCTCAATACATGGCATTTCAGCTGCATTTAAACAGGCTGCTTTGTTTTTTAATTATTAAAATTGCCAGTAAGTTACACTATGACAACATGGTTGAGGGGGTTAAAAAAAAAAAAAAAAGGACCAGGTTTTTAAACAAACAGACAAGTTCTTCCTTCCTAGTCTTCAAGGCCTATCAATAAACAGTCATAGGGTAAGAAAATATTCCCTTTGCAGGATTGGAAAAAACATTGCTTCCATACTACAAAACAGCAAACTATGAAGAGTAAGTGATGCCTAACAAAACCAGTCGCTGTTGTGTTTATTCTGACTCACGGCGACCCCATGTATGTCAGAGCAGAACTGTATTCCATAAGATTTTCAAGGCTATGACCTTTTAGAAGAAGATTGCCAGGCCTTTCTTCTGAAGCGATTCTGGGTAGATTTGAATTGCCAACTTTTCTGTTAGTAGCTAAGCACTTAACCATTTGCGTCACCCAAAGTGATGCCTAGCAGAACGTAATAATTGTCACTGGGATACAGCTTTTCTTTTTTGCATTCTCTGCCTTCATCTCATCTTCCTAAAGGTAGAAGATGAGAATATGGGACTCAGTTTGCTGGGTGGTAGAAAGCTCTAATCCCAACCTGATCAGAAGAGACACAAGTCAAGAAATTCCCAGTAGTGACTTTTGGTTACCTTGGGAAGTGAGGATAGGGCCCTCCCTTGCCCCTAATAGAAATTCCACACCAAACAGACAGCATACATGAAAAGTCAAGTGTCATGAACACTACAGCAGATGTTTAGGATGGGGAGAATCAGGGATGGGGCAGGGCCATGGGCCAGGGGCAATTAATTTGCTGTCCTGTTGTTTTCCTGGGCTTCTGTTAAACCCAAGATGGTGAGCAAGGGTTTCCCCAGCACAGTGAGTACAGAAGGCTTGTTGCTTTGCAAATGAGGAAAATGGGAAAATCTGACCGAGTTATCTGCAAACCCCCACAAGACTTCTCCTTGTGGGTTTATGACAACCTATTGTCCAATTGAGAGAGCATGGAATTAGGCCGTGAATGCTAAGTCCTTCTTCGAAACAACAAAAACTGCCATTTATTGAGAATCAAAGGGTACTAGATAGTAATAGTAGTAAACTTAAAATCTCCATTTTATAGGTGAAGAAGTGAAGTAACTAGCCCAAGATCATGCAGCAAAATGGGACAGATCTGGAATTTTAATTCAGCCTTTTTAAAGATAAGGCTGCATAACAGGCAGGCCCACATTTTAAAGCTGATATTTAACAGGCCCATATTCGCAGCTGGTAGAGAAAACTCAACGAAAGCCCAGAGACAAACGTTGACACTTCCTCTTTTGGGAGAAACCTTAGATGTGTAAGGCATTAAAGCTGGAAGAGAATTCAGAACTTAGGCCAATTTCCTCATCTAGCACATCCTAAAGAATGCCGGTGGCGCAATGGTTATGTATTCGTCTGCTAACCAAAAGGTTGTCAGTTCAAACCTGCCCAGTGGCTCCACGGCGAAAGGCTTGGCAATATGCTTCTGCAAAGAGTACAGCCAAGAAAATCCTATGAGGCAGTTCTACTCTGTCACATGGGGTCACTATGAGTCGGAATAGACTCCTGGGGCACCCAAAAACAAAAACAAGGAAATTAAGGACACTGTTAAGGACGCATAACTATCTGACAGTAGGTGTACTGATGAGACATCAACTTCCTATACTCCCATTCAGTGCTGAATTAACCTATCGTCTATCTCAACAGATATTTCTCAGAACATCTAAAGATACCTGGAGCACAGACCAAAACCATTTGCTAAAACCTCTGGCGCTAAGTGAATGTTATTTCTTATAACTACAGTCAGAACAGCATGCAAGATGGTGAAATGGAATATTACTCTGTGGATTCTCCATACATGTTACTCTAACTCTCTCCTGGGAATGATAAACATTTAAAAAGAATGTAAATGTAGCAACAGCTTGTGGGCCATTTGTTGTTGTTGTTAGGTGCCGTTGAGTAGGTTCCAACTCATAACAACCCTACGTACAACAGAACGAAACACTGCCTGGTCTCGCGCCGTCCTCACAATTATTGTTATGCTTGAGCTTATTGTTGCAGACACTGTGTCAATCCATCTCATTGAGAGTCTTCCTCTTTTTTGCTGACCCTCTACTTTACCAAGCATGATGTCCTTTTCAGGGGAGAGATTCCTTCTGATAACATGTCCGAAGTACGTGAGATGAAGTCTCACCATCCTTGCTTCTAAGTAGCATTCTGGCTGTGTTTCTTCCAAGACAAATTTGTTCATGCTTTTGACAGTCCATGGAGAGCCTTGATACTGTAGCAGAAAAGAGCAAGATGAACCACCAGCACTGGGAACAGAGCGTTTATCATAGTCAGATTGCAGGGCCAGTTGGAGTCAAGGAGGGGTGAAGTCACCAGAGAGAATCACGAAGCTGGACTGGGCTAGAGAAAAGAGACCCCAGATCTTGGCATTAGATGGTAGAGGGTGCCTAGTCACTAGATGGGAAAGGGGTGTTGCCAGAGAATCCAGAGGTCAGTGAAAGGAAAGAAACATGAAAGACTGAGAATGTACATGAATGAGATTAAATTCCCAAAGATACTGTTATGGATTGAATTGTGTTCCCCAAAACTGTGTTGTAAATCCTAACCTCTAAACCTGTAGTTATAATCCCATTTGGGAATGGGCTGGGTTTGTTATGTTAATGAGGCATGATTAGTGTAGGCTATATCTTGAGTCAATTTCTTTTGAGATATAAAAGAGATTAAATGCAAGCTGAAGCAGAAATGGGGTAAGATAGATGCCAAGACACATGGAGATCCCCAAGGAAGCAGGAAACAGAAGCTGAAGAGACAAGGACCTTCCTCCAGAGTCAACAGAGAGAGAAAGCCTTCCCCTAGAGCCAGTGCTCTGAATTCAGACTTCTAGCCTCCTAAACTGTGAAAGGAGCCTTGGTGGCGCAGTGGTTAACAGCTCATCTGCTAACCAAAAGGTTAGCAGCTCGGATCCACCAGCTGCTCCTTGGAAACCCTATGGGGCAGTCCTACTCTGTCCTATAGGGTCGCTATGAGTTGGAATTGACTTGACGGCAACGGGTTTCATTTGTTTTTTCTGTAAACTGTGAGAAAATAAATTTCTGTTTGTTAAAACTACCTATTTGTGGTATTTCTGTTATAGCATCACTAGATAACTAAGACAGATACTTTAAATTGCTGGATCAAATTTAGTTTCCTTTTTTTGCTGCACAGCAGGATAGGGGGCTTTTAAGGATTATCATAGCTACCTAAGAAAATACACCTGCATTTCCTTTTTCATTTCTGAGTTAAGAAGTACAAATATTTAATCATATTACAAAATATGGAATGGAGCAGGGTGAAGACGGGTTCTGAGGTCGTGTATCTTCTCCACTGAACCAGTGTTATAGCAGTAGGATCACTCCATCGAGAGTGTTCATGGCATCAAAGTTAAATTGATTTTCTTTTTTTTACAATTCATCAGTTGATTGGAATAGTGACTTTTAGTTTGCATCATGTTTAGACCAAATTTTCTTGCAGAGCAATTTTTTTTCTTGGAGTTTTGAAATGTATTTTTTTTTATTTTTAAAGTGTTGTCAGAGGTCCAATTTAGAGTCTTTCTAGCCTCTTGGTCATACTACTTATCACTTTCTTTCTGGTGACCCCTCCTGGAGTCTTCTGTCCTTCTTTTCCAAAGTGGGCCAACTGAATTCTTGGCCTGCTACACAACCATCAATCTAAGACTTCTCTTTTACTACTTTTCTGGGTTGAATCTAGTGTTTACTGAGTTCCTTATTTTCTTCTGTTGTGGTTTTCTCCCCCATTTTGTTAGTGTGCTTCCTCAAATAACTTCCTAAGAGTACATAAGACATAAAAATGTTGATGTCTTGTATGTCTTAACCAGTTGCTGTCAAGTCAATTCTTACTCATGGAGACCCCATGTGCGTCAGAGTAGAACTATGCTCTATAGGGTTTTCAATGGCTGAATTTTTGGAAATAGATCACCAGGACCTTCTTCTGCAGCACCTCTGGGTAAACCTCCAACCTTTTAGTTAGCACCTGAGCATGTTAAATGTTTGCACACCCAAGAACTCCTTGTATGTCTTATATTTATTATGTTTATTGTATCTATATCCTGGAGAAGGACATCATGCTTGGTAAGGTAGAGAGTCAGTGAAAAAGAGAAAGACCCTCAAGGAGATGGATTGACACGGTGGCTGCAACAATGGGCTCAAGCATAACAACGATTATGAAGATGGCACAATACCAGGCAGTATTTCCTTCTGTTGTGCATGGGATCTCTACGAGTTGGAATCGACTCGACGGCACCTAACACCAACATACACTTGCTTAGTATTAGAGCAGAGTATTGAAGTTTAAAATCACCTTTTTTTTCCTCAGAACTTTGAAAACCATATTCTATTGTCTTCTACCATTCAATGTTGCTGATAATCTATTTTGAGACTGATTCCTATGTTTGTTTGGTGGTTAGTTTTCCAAACTGGATCTTTCGTCCTTGATGTTCTGAAATGCCATGATGACGATTCTCAGTGTGAGTCTTTTGTCATTCACACACTTACCACTTAACTGGGCCCTTTCACTCACAGCTTCCCATTCTGGGAACTTTCCTACTATTTGTTTGGTAATTGGACCTCTGCTTCTGTAACAATTTCTCTCATATTTTCCTGTTCCAGGTCTTTTTGCTCAACTCAATGTTTCAACTCACGTATTGATTTTATTTTTAATTTTTGCAATCCCATTTTTCACTTTCAGAGCTTCTTATTTCTCACTGCTTCCTTTCTGTAGCATCTTATTTTTGAGATTTTTTTTTTTCTCCTTCTTTTTAAGAGTTTATAAATTAGAGGGATTTTTTTTGGTTTGTTCTTTGTTGGTAAGGTTCCTTTTATTATTATTATTATTATTAAAGTTTTCTTCGTACCCTGAATTATCATTTTCCTTTATTTCTGCCTTTCTATCATTCTCTTACTTTTTCCCACTCACTGGTTTTCCTAATATGTTTGCTGGTTGTAGGTTGCCATTCATATTGAAAAATAAGAAACCAGGGTGATACATGTTTCTTGTGCTAGGGGATGTGAGTCTGTCTCCCTGCCAACATCTTTCATGAGGAGGATATCTGATGGGAGAGAGGTGGGTCCTATGTAAGTGAGTGAAATGTGCGGATGGGCAGGTTTTTCCCTTAGGGTAAAATGACAAGGAGCCAGATACCAGGCTGTAGGCCCCCAAATGCCAGAATAAAGGCATTAATCTGTGATAGTAGCCTCTACAGGAGCAATCATACTTCTCTTCACTTTATTACTGAATTTTTAAATTTTAACTGAGCTCCCTGTTGGTATCATGTTGGAGAGGTTGGCTGCTTTGGCTGTTCCATAAGAGAACTTCAGATATCCTATATTTTCAACCCCTCTTCTTATGCTTGACCTTCTTCTTGTCCATTGACCTTATGTCCCAGTTTGCCCAGCATTGTCCCAGGTTATGTCTATCATCCAACCCAACGTAATTACCGTTGTTCCACCTTTTACTCCTCAAAATATCCTAGTTTAGAAGATAAATTGTATGGTTGCCCTACTGCTGATCCAAATCATGAGCTTCTCGGGGGTTCCAAAATGGAAGACCTAATTCCTCCTGCACTGTGGCCTCCTACAGCATATTCTAGACTGTCTCATTTTCAACATGTTCCCATTTGATTTCTAATGTTCAGAAATGGGTTGAAATCCATTGTCCAACTCCTGACTTCTTCATTGTTGCGGGTTTACTACAAATTTGTATTTCTATACTGTTATCCCAAGAGAGTGTTTGGAGAAATGGAAGTGAACAGCATGCTCATTCTATAATCTTTAACTGATAATCTGTTTATCAGTCTTAAATCAAACTGGAAATATAAGAGTGAAGTACCCACCCTCTGTTCAATATTTCAATATGTAGGACAAGATTATTCTCCAAAACACATCACCACTGCCCCAGTAAACACACCATTGACCAGTGATCTGAGATCACAGATATGGAGAGAAGTAGGTATAACACGGTTTAATTTTCACTGTAAAATGTGTGTTTCTTAGGTAACTTGAGTTTAATCAAATAATAGCCATAAATATATTCTTCTGAGCAGAGGAATGTTGAGGGATGAATTTTAATACATTGTTGTCCATATGAGAACCATTAATGACTTTGCTGTAAATCTTATAATTTAACTTGACAATGTAGGGGAAAACCATGCTGTTATATTTAATTTACATTAGAAATGTACTTATGTAGTAACAATAAAGTTCATATATGCATATCTATATTAAATTCAAAACATATTAGTCATGATATGGTCGTAAAGTCTTTATACTCTCTTTTCTTCACATTCTCAGGTTATTATTTCATTTTTGATACACTTATGCCTCCGCGGTGGTGCAGTGGTTAAGAGTTACAGCAGTTAACCAAAAGGGAGGCAGTTTGAAGGTGGGCTTGTCAAATGTTTGAAATGTATTTCCACCATTTGAAAAGGATTGGCTGGTCTTTGAAAACAGAGAATGACATTTAGGGGGAAAGATCTTAGTTTTGATAAGATTATATGTAATTATGTGTTTGGAGGATATGGTCTGGGTTCCCAAACCTGTTTTCCCTCATTGGGCTGCTTTTATTCCAGTTCCTGATTTGCCAGAATCCAAATAATGAGGAATCTAGACTTTTGGGGCCTGTCATAGTTATCTAGTGCTGCTATAACAAAAATACCACGAGTGAATGGCTTTAACAAATAGAAATTTACTCTCTCATAGTTTAGGAGGCTAGAAATACGAATTCAGGGTGTCAGCTCCAGAGAAGGGCTTTCTCTTTCTCTGTTGGCCTTGGGGGAAGCTTCTTGTCATCAATCTTCCCCTGGGTCTAGGAGTTTGTCAGCACAGGGCCCTAGGTCCAAAGGATGTGCTCTGTTCCTGGCTGTTCTTTCTTGGTGGTAGGAGGTCCCTCTCCTCTGTGCTCACTTCTCTCTTTTATATCTCAAAATAGATTGACTCAAGATACAACCTAATCTTGTAGACTGTGTCCTGCCTCATTAACATAACTAACTGCTTCTAATCCTGCCTTATTAACTTCATAGAGGTTAAGATTTACAACACGTAGGAAAACTACATCAGATCACAAAATGGAGGACAACTACACAATACTAGGAATCATGGCCTAGTCAAGTCAACACACGTTTTTAGATGACACAATTCAATCTATAACAGGGCCCAATTTACGACTGGACGAAAGTGTTTGCCAGGGGCTCCCAGTCAGTTCTCCTCCCATGAAGGATAGAGGAGGTGCTATCTCCCAAAGGCGTTCTCCCACTCTGAGCTCATAAAACCCTGAGGATGGTAACCTAGGTAAAACACACTTTAGAGATAGATATGGGGATGAACTGCCAGAGAAGGCATTCAAAAACCTCTTATACAATATTTGTCTTTTTGTGACTGACTTATTCCACTCAGTATAATGTCTTTAAGCTCCATCGATATTGTAGCATGTATCAAGACTTTATTTCTCTTTCTGGCTGAGTAGTATTCTATTGCATATATGTACCATATTTTGTTTATCCATTCATCTGTTGATGAGCATTTAGGTTGTTTCCACCTTTTGACTATTATGAATAGTGCTGCAATGAACTTTGGTATACAAGTCTCTGTTTGAGCTTATTGCCTCCATGAACATCTGTCTCCTTTGCCATGAGACCAGAAGAACTGGATGGTGCCGGCTATCGTTACTGAACATTTTGATCAAGGATTCTTCAGAAGAATAGAAATAATGGAGGCTGAATGAACTCCTAAAACTATTGCCCTGAGGTAATTTTTAAACCTTAAACCTTAAACCAAAAATATTCCCTGAAATCTTCTTAAAACCAAACAATCCTTTAGCTTAACTAGTAAACAATGTCTGCCTTGAGCATTAGGCTCTTTTAAGATCTATCTATACGATATCAAATTATTGCAATTGCTGTTAAGAAGTCATAGACCCATAAAAAGTTGAATTGGCAAAAGTTGTGTGATGGGTATATTTATAACAATGACAAAAAAAAAGTGTAACTGCTGAGGCTGCTTATGTATAACCAAACACCTCATGGGATTTGGTTCCTTCGTTTTGAGGTTTAGGGTCATGATTTCATGGGACATCCCAGTTAACTTGTCTAATAATGTCTTTGGTGCTTCTGTTCTACCTCCTAGTTCTTTGTGTAGTGCCTGGAGTCTTAACAGGTTCTAAGTGGCCATCTAAGGCACAACAATTGGTCTCTATTCACATGGAACAAAAGAGGAAGAGAGTCAGGAATACGAGGATATGGAAGGTGTGGCTAATTGCCTGCATGAACAACTTCCCCCTTCGTCATGAGACCAGAAGATCTGGATGGTGCCTGGCTACTATTACTGAATATTTTGATCAAGGATTCTACAGAAGAATCCTGATCAAAAGGGAGGGAAATGCAGAACAGAATTTAAAAATTCCCGTGGACTCCAGATTTTCTGAAGCCATGAAGGCAGCAGGAGCCCCTGAAATTATTGCCTTGAGATAATCTTTAACCCTTAAATAAAAATATCCCTTGAAGTCTTCTTAAAAACAAACAATAGTTTAGCTTAACTAGTAAAAAAAGTCTGCCTTGAATATTATGCTTTTTTAAGATCTGCCTATCTGGAATCAAATTGACAACAGC